CAGGCAACCTGAAAGAATTTTGATAAATCGTGAAACGTGAATTTGCGAAAGTTAATGATTAAGAATAAGCTATATGCTCCAAACGTGTAAATTGCAAGCTAAAGGATAAAAAGAAGAAGAAAACTGCAAGCCGAAATTATGAGCAATAATTGGAGATCCCCAGGATGGCTTAGACTTCGGGTACCTAACAGCAAATGTTTTTAGCCAGGATGGATATTAGAGATATTTCGATCCTGACCAAACACTTTCATGTGAAACTAGAGGTTTTCAAAATATGCAAAAGATAGTAGGCCTAGCAACGATTTTGTACTAACATTGCACCGTTCGGACCCGAATGAAAACGCCTACGTCTCAGCGCTAACGTAGTCAAATAAATTCACAGAAAATGCCTGGTGAACCTCAACGCATAAACCCTTTATTCTCGCAATACGCTCAAAAAGTCACAGAATATAATGAATCACATTTACTTGAAATGGTACAGAAACTTAATTCCTCCGGTCTGGTCAATGGCGGTCTGCTCGTCGTCTCGGATGCGCTTACGCTGGAACTCCTTGTCGACGTCATCATCCATTGCCTCGTCGATGACGAAATTGCTGGAGGGCTTATCCTTCACATCGGCCTTCCTATCGACGGCACCGTACCATAGCGAGACGCCTTGCTAAAAATACAAACTTTATTCGCATTTCCTGACCTTCTTACCTTGATATCGGCAATGCAGAGATCCTTGCCGTTGTGCAAAAAGGCAAGTGCGCAGACGGCCGTCATCTTGTTGTTGTTGCGGTAGTCGTGCGTCGAGATGAGCTTTCTAAAACGCGAAATTCGGCGAAAATCCGAGTTCCTTACCCAGAAGTCGTGTGCCAGACGCAAATCGTGCCAAACAGCGTCCCGGCCGCCAAATAGGCCCCATCTTCGCTGAGGGCAAGCGCCGAGAATTCCTCCTAAACGAGCAAGTTTTCAAAGGGCATAAAATCTAAACCTCAAAATCTTTGCTCTTGTTGAAGCGGGTTCGCTGGCATTCCCAGTTGGAGACATCGGCGACTCGGATGCCGTCCCAGGCCGGCATGTAGAGGTGCTCGCCATCCGGAGACCATTTCAGCTGCGCCCGGTTTTTGTGAGGGCTAAAATAAAAGTAAAATAATTTCTTAAAAGCGGTTTTAAGGCGCACAAACTTTTTTTTTTAAAAAAGCTCGAAATCACTCACTCAATATCGCCAAACGACTTGAACAGCTTGTCAAACACGGCCACTCGTTCGGTGCCCGACGTCGGGTAGATCTCGACGCTGCCTTCGGTGAACGATACGGCGATGTACTAAAAATAGAAGTTTATTCGGTCAAATTTACTGAAATTTACCTTCTCCGTCGGGTCAATGGCGAGCGAAAGGGGCTGGTTGCCGAACTCAATCTTCTCGTAGGATGCTGCCTGATCGAGCGGCGCCTTCTTCATTGTGCAATCGCTAAAAAGAGGTAAAATTTCGTCTACAACGGATTTATACCTTCCGATGGCTGCGATGTACGTATTCGACACATCAATGGCATTGATTCCCACGGGAATGAGAAGAGGCTTCGCTGCTCGCCGTCCCAGCCGGACTTGCTCTCGGTGAGTCTGGAAAGCAATAAATCAAGGAATAGGGATAAAAACGAACCTTACGACGGTGTGTACTCCGAGGCCGGTTTGCTCATCGGAGACCGTCAGCCCGATGTAGAGCGCGTCGGCCCTCCAGCAGAGGCAGGCGTGCCCGGCTTCACCGATTTCTTGATGCGTCACTTCGGCGTCGCCGCTGAACACGCTGGGCTTCCAGATCCAGATTGAGCCGTCCTTCGCGCTGGTGAGGAACTAAATAAAAGTTTTTTTTCACGCAGAAAACGGCTCACACGCTCTCCGCTGGGCTCGACCGCGATGTCGACGTGGGCCTCGCCGATGCCGGCGCCGTGCGAGTCGACCATTCTTGACAGCTGGGCGGTCATCGCTGAAATGAAATATATAGAAACTCTAAGTCAATAAAACATGGAGAACATGAAACGTCACGTGAGAATGGACAAATGGAGAACAGGAAAGAGAAACTTTGCAGCCAACATGCCAAAGACCGTCCTTTTGCCCATTTTAGCCTTTCTAAACCCCAAAATGTCCAGAAATTGGCCTCTTACGTAGAAGGAAATACCGTGCAGGATGTAAGCCAGAAAACCATGTATGATGAAAAGCAGCGGTACGCATAGGTGCAAACCCCCCATGGATAGTATGAGGGGCAAAATAGCAAAAGAGCGGTCGGGCTGCGGAGACGGTGCAAAATGAAAAGCGGTGCTATTTAGGTTTCGCGGGTCCAGTTTGATTTTCCACGATTTGGCGCTATTTCGGCATCCGGGCCCCAAAAACGGAACTTTCGCGGTTTGGGATAGTTTTTTCGAAATCAGCGCACATGACTGCGCTAGAAAAAGTCAAGCTTTGGCTGGGACCCGGATCCCGAAATAGCGCCCAATAATTTATAGCTCAGCGCGTCCGCCGAGAAAAAGGAACGTAGATGGGAAAAAAAAAGAAAGAGTTTTTGATAAATAAAAAGCGGGAAATCGCAAAGTAAAAACGGGTGACAAACAGTTCACGGCAACTCCAGCAATGGTTTGGGCCGCAACGAAAAATGGGGAATTCGCACGGAAAATTGGGCTACGCGGCGCTCCAACACATCCCGTTTTGAACCAAACTCTAGTCTAAAACCGGAAACTTCAAAGCCTTGGTCCAATTCAGTTTTGAATTCAGTTTTCTTTCTATTTGGTCACATTCGAAAGAGCGCATTTTGTTCTACAAATCTGGAAATCGACTTTTTCAAATTACCATCTAGGTAAAAAGTTATAAGCCATCAAAGATTTTCCCCTTAGTATCTTTGCTCGAAAAAGTCCCGGAATTAAATGTCGTCATTGTGGCCCCTGAGATGCCGTGAGTTGGAGGAAATTGGAAGTTTCACGCAAATGCGCATCGTTCTCGTCCGTTTCACGGTGCGTCGCGTAGCGGTGGCGGACGCAATTTCGAGAAGAAACGTCCAATATATAGCTGAATAAACTAACTAAATAAAAATAAATTAAGTTAGTTTTGTCTAGTTTCGACGTTTCGGACTTGTTGACGTTCGGTGCAACTTTTTCGCGGGTATCGAATGAGCGGTGAAAGTGCTAGTTTTTGGATCTTGGCGGTCATTTTCTGCACTTCGTTTGTCGTGCGTTCGCAACGCCATTTTGCCGTAAACTTTATTCACAAAAGTTGGAGCACCATCAGCTCTGATCTGACCACGAGACCAATGAGTCTTAATAAATAAGGAAAACGGTAACGCAAAACATAAATAAAAGACAATGTAATTGAGTGTTATGTGACAATGGGCGAGTAAATCGATAATTTCGTTTGTATAAGCTTCATTTGTTGATGATAATGGGTTAATCGGTGGGTGTGCCGCGGGGCGACGACGTCAGCCGAATTCGTCCTTGAGCCGATCTTTTCTCCTAAATTCTCAAGGGTTTGATTCTTTCTTTTCTTCTCCTTCTTGTACTTTCCCCTTTCTAGAGTTATCGGTCCTGGACTGTTAGCGGGCGGGGGGGGGGCGACGGCCAAATTTTCCCCGGTGATTCTCTGCGGTCCCATAACAAAATATAGATAATTTTTATATCATCTTACATAGTTTTTAGATAAAAAAACGCTATAAAAATTACAAAAAGTGACTATTTGGTCAAAATTGTATGAAAATGGTCCAAAGAAGGTCAACTTTTATGAATTTTCAAAGTTTGAAAAATTTTTGGTTTACGTTCTATTAAAAACTAGTCCCCACTGCCTTCCCCCTCCCCCCCCCCCCGGCTAACAGTCCAGAACCGAGTTCTCGAGGGTCTAGGGGAACTGTCATTTTTCCTAAAAATCATTTTTCCTAGATTCATTTTTCCTAAATTCATTTTTCCTAAAAATTATTTTTCCTAAAGTTCATTTTTCCTAAACCGGTTAAATATCGAAAAAGTCTCGGTTCATTAGTATTATGCATCCAAAAATCCGAATTTTTTATAATAGGTTTAATTATGCCTAGAATGGTCATAGGAAGTATTTTAGTTGCGCGTTTAGCCTAGAGTTGGGTGATTTGAAGTGAAAAAGGATCAATGATAATAAGAAAGATTTTCGATAAAAGCCTACTAATAACAAAACCAAACAAATACTGCGAAAAAATGACAACATTTGGCCTTTCTTGATATTTTTACGCATCCCTATTGAATGAAAAATTTTAGGAAAAATGAACTTTAGGAAAATGTTTTTTAGGAAAAATGACTTTTAGGAAAAATTATTTTTGGGAAAAATGACTTTTAGGAAAAATGATTTTTAGGAAAAATGATTTTTAGGAAAAATGAATTTAGGAAAAAATGATTTTTTAGGAAAATTGAACATAACCCGGTCTAGGGGCCATTTCTGGGTTTTCCCCCATTTCAACCGGCGCACCTTTCTCTAGTTCATCGGGCTCGGTGGGTTCGCTGTCGTTGACGCGCTTGTTCTCCTCCTGGATGCGGCGCTTCTCCTCCTCGCTGCAGCGCTTCTCCTCCTCGATGAGGCGCTTCTCCTCCTCGTTGAGGGCTTCTCCCTCCTCAGCCTTTCGCCGCCGCTCCGCCTCCTCTTCCACGGTCTTCTTGATGGCTCCGTAGCGATGCTCGTCGGTGATTTTGCCCTCCCAGTCGAGCTTCTCGTTCATGTCCAGCTTGTAGACGGCCGCCACATGATCCACGTGGTCCTGCAGCGCATTTTCATGACTTTGGTATAGGACTGTTAGCGGGGCGGGGGCCGGGGGGATTTTGAAGGCTAGAAAACTATCAAATATCTTTTTAAATGGGGAAAATTCGACAATTTCTATCTTTTTGAGCCATTTTTCATACCTTTTTGATCTAAAAGTTAAAAATTTTCGAAAATTTTTATTATTTTTATGGCGTTTTATACCTAAAAACTATGTAAAAAGCTATAAAAATGGTTCATATTTTTGATAGGGCCATAGCGAATCACAGAGAAAAATTTGGTTCCCCCCGCTAACAGTTCAGAAACGAATTGCGAGAGGAAAGCGATAGAAACAGAGGGAGAGAGAGGGAGTGAGTGAGTGAAAGAGAGAGAGCGAGAGAGAGAGAGAGAGCGAGAGTGAAAGAGAGAGCGAGAGAGACAGATAAACAAACCATAATCTTCTGATATGGCGGCTGATCGGCGTACTGCAGCGCGTCGATCCACACGCATATCAGGTGAAATTCTTTAGGGAATCCGAACGGCCACCCTGAAATCAGATCCTCAGAAAAAAGTTAGCCCCCCCCCCCGATAATGCGAAAGAACCGATGGATGGCTCGACCGCGTTGCCCTTCGCGACGACCATATTCCCTAAGAAACGCCCTCGGCCACCTTCAGGATCGCTGCTGAACATCCGCACCTTCCAACTGGGCAGCCCCGGCTCGAACCGCCGAGTAAAAAACTTCCCTCCCAGGTACAAATCGAGCAGCACGTAGAGCCAGATCTGTAACAATAATCCGGCTTCGAAAATCTCCCCAATAATCGCTGCTAGCCCTCCAATCAGGGACCTACACAGCTTTGAAACCCCATTTCCGAAAAGCGCTTTTAATGTTTAAAAAGTGATTTTCGTAAATATGCGTTCCGAAGATGAGTAATAAGATTTTTTGTCAAAAATGTATAAAAATGAAAAGTATAAAAGAATGTATAAAAAAGCTCAAAAATTTCGGTTTTGTTTCTTTTAAAAAGTTTGTTCACCTCAACATCGTCGCGTCGTGACTGGTCCTTGTCTTGAAGGCAGTTGCGCGATAGATATCTCCTCGCTTTTGGAAACGGTTGGGATACGTTTCCGGGCCAATGGAGGGGCAGGCAAGCAGCGATTCTTTGAGGAATTGGAGGGGATAAAGGGGCCAGGCTAGCAGAGATTCTTTGAGGAATTGGAGGGGATGGAGGGGGCAGGCTAGCAGAGATTCTTTGAGGAATTGGAGGGGGATGGAGGGTGCAGGCTAGCAGAGATTCTTTGCGGAATTGGAGGGGATGGACGGGGCAGGCTAGCAGAGATTCTTTTGAGGAATTGGAGGGGATGGAGGGTGCAGGCTAGCAGAGATTCTTTTGAGGAATTGGAGGGGATGGAGGGGCAGGCTAGCAGAGATTCTTTGAGGAATTGGAGGGGATGGAGGGGCCAGGCTAGCAGAGATTCTTTGAGGAATTGGAGGGGATAAAGGGGCCAGGCTAGCAGAGATTCTTTGAGGATTGGAGGGGATGGAGGGGGGCAGGCTAGCAGAGATTCTTTGAGGAATTGGAGGGGATGGAGGGGGCAGGCTAGCAGAGATTCTTTGCGGAATTGGAGGGGATGGACGGGGCAGGCTAGCAGAGATTCTTTGAGGAATTGGAGGGGATGGAGGGGGCAGGCTAGCAGAGATTCTTTGAGGAATTGGAGGGGGATGGAGGGTGCAGGCTAGCAGAGATTCTTTGAGGAATTGGAGGGATGGAGGGGGCAGGCTACAGAGATTCTTTGAGGAATTGGAGGAGATGGAGGGGCAGGCTAGCAGAGATTCTTTGAGGAATTGGAGGGGATGGAGGGGGCAGGCTAGCAGAGATTCTTTGAGGAATTGGAGGAGATGGAGGGGCAGGCTAGCAGAGATTCCTTAAGGAATTGGATCGATGAGAGCACTTCAACATTTTCCCAGCGTTACCGGTGGATGTGCTTCCCGTCGGGTCCCTTCTCCTTCTCGCACCACCGCCGTCCGATGCCAAAATCGAGCAGGTAGACGATCTTCTCGCGGTCTCCGGACCCGACGGCCGCATTTTCCAGCTTCAGGTCGCGGTGGATGTAGCCGACGTCGTGCAGGTCCCAAATCCCTTGCAACAACTGCTTGGCGACCTGCAGAGAGGTGGACGGGCGGCAAAGAGTCGGTGCTTTTTGAACGGGGTTTAAGCGCTTGTCTCCTGGTCTTGACCTAAAAATAAGGCTTCGTACCACCCGGTCGATGCCGTCGCTTTGGATGGGTGCGAGCTCGTACAGGGTTTCGAAATCGGGGCGCCCGAGGCGCGCGTAGCGGCCAGGCGCCCCGATTTCGAAAGGTGGAGCGGCACCCATCCAAAGCGACGCCCACCTTGCCTGACAATGCTTTAGACTCTTACTACCCTTCTTTTTAATCTTATATTGGGGAAAACGAGCTTAATAGGACGGGCCGCAAATTTCGGGCCGCAAATGTCGGGCCGCAAATGTCGCGTCCGCAAGTGTCGGGCGCAAGTGACGGGCCGCAAGTGTCGGGCCGCATCTGTCGGGTCGCAAGTGTCGGGCCGCAAATGGTCGGGCCGCAAATGTCGGGGAGCCGGGGGATTCAGCAGCGTTACCTTTTGATACTGTATTTTAAAGGAGTTTTTATTAAATGTAGGGTACACATAGGGTAACGGGGGGAATAAAATAACGGGGGGGCACTCATCCTACTATATATAAAAAAAATAGTGTCTGTGTGTGTGTGTGTCTGTGTGTGCCACTTTGCATCCACTTCCGTCTGTCTGTCCGGAGGATATCTCGATAGGGGATGAATTTTAAGGTATGTATGATACGTCATTAGGTGCGTAATGGCCTGGAGATGACTGCACGCATCTGAGATTCAATAAAATCCCCTATTTTCGACATTAAAATTAAGTTTTTGTCAAAACTTCTTTGTTAGGACTAATTAGCATAGACCGGAAGTTGGGATTCGACTATATACATGGACAGAGAGATAGTTTTTCTTTTTTAGCATCTGAATTTAGAACAATTATGCAAAACGAAGGATAAAATGGGGTTAGACGGGGCCAGGGTTGAAAAGTCGCGAAGCGGCTTTGCAACCCTGGTTATTATGACATTTGCAATTACTGAGGGATTTTGCGAGTGCCATTCGATAGAGCGTCGAAAAATATACTAAGAGAATTAATTTGAGCCCAAAATAATGTAATGGAAATTTTTTTATTGAATAAACAAAAATTGAGGAAAATCTATGGGCAGCACATAGGATAACGGGGGGGGGAGTCAAACTTTCGAAATTTTCGAAATTTTCGGTATTTTGAAAACGTCATTCGATAAAACGTCGAAAACTGCCCTAGGAAAATTAATTTCAGCCCGAAATAATGTAAATGAAATTTTTTATCGAATAAACAAAAATTGATCAAAATCCATGGGCTGCACATAGGATAACGGGGGGAAAGCCAAATTTTTGAGATTTTCGATATTTTGATAACGCGAATCGATAGAACATCAAAAAATATCATCAACTATAAGAATTCAGTAGTGGTGTCTGTCTGTCTGTCCGTCAGAAGCCAACTATAACTCGAAGGGGAAAGGGGGTAGAGCTTAGGTCTCTTCGGATTTGGATAGAGCGTAGTCAGAAACCCCTTAAATGATCCAAAAATTATGAAAAAGTTATTGTTTAAATTATTAAAATTAACTTTGAAAGTGGCGCCTTAATAAAACGAGTGGGGGCCCTCTCCCCGGGAGGCCACGCCCCCTTTCTCTTCGCCCCTCTTCCCCAAGGCCCTTCCGCGCCCAGATGCCTTTTTTGAGTTACTTTAATACTTTTTAATATATGTTTTAATTATGTTAATTCGTTATTTAAATCATTTAAAGTATCGGGATGGAATCTAAGTAGTTTTTAAGGGGGTTTCGGCTATGGGGGTATCTGAAGCCATCGGAAAGGTATTTTTGTAGTTTTTTAAGGGGGCTTCGGCTATGGGGGGTATCTGAAGCCCTCAGGCAGGTATCGAAGTCGTTTTTTAAGGGGTTTCGGCTATGGGGGGTATCTGAAGCCATCGGGAAGGTATTTTGGTAGTTTTTAGGGGGATTTCGGCTATGGGGGGGTATCTGATGCGATGAGGAAGCCATCTAACAAGGAGTCGCTTTTAGGTGCTTTTGGAGTTTCGGGACGGGACCTAGCTAGTTCGATAGAGAAAAAAATTCTGAGCAAGATCCCGTTTTCAAAAAGTGCTGATCGATAAAGCTGTTTTAGAAAATTTAATTTAATTAAAAATGTTCCCGGTATCCGGACCCTTGTGGTGATTTGAGGTGATTTGCGGCGGTTGATCGCCCCCGCCACATGAAGACTTCACGCGCCTTGGATCTCGTCCTTTGCATGGCCAAGTGGCTAGTGCGATGGCCTACGAAGTTTTTTTTGACCTTTTGCCACAAGTTCGATTCTTATTTACCGTTAACTCTTTGCTTTTTTGCCAACTAAAATTTTATGCACCGACAACGGGTTCAAGAACCAAAAAGCAAACGGTTAGCCAGCGCGAAGATTCGAACCCGAGGCAAAAAAATGTTAAAAAGTTTGTAGGCAAGCGCGCTACCAATACGCCACTGCAACCTGTGATGGAGGCCGTGGCGGAATGTTAAGAATGGCGCCTTGCCCAGCCCCGAAAACGACGTGCACCGAGGAAACGGACCCGAAAACTAGAAAAAAGCGCGAACTTTAAATTAAATTTTCTAAAACAGCTTTATCGATCAGCACTTTTTGAAAACGGGATCTTGCTCAGAATTTTTTCTCTATCGAACTAGCTGAGTCCGTCCCGAACTCCAAAGCACCTAAAAGCGACTCCTTGTAAGTAGTTAAGGTATGTAGTTAGTCAGTTAAGTAGTTTATGGTAGTTAGTATGGGTAGGTAGTTTAAATTTTTACCGGGGGTTGGCTAGAGAAGGTTCTGAAGGTGGGCGTGGGTATTGATCAAGGTAGAGGTGTAATGTGGTGGCGTAAAATATGGAGGGTGGCCCTAAAGGCCAGCCGATTACAGTCGCCAAGCGGTTCGATACATTCTTCGATTATAAGTTTGCAGGTACCCCAAAGTCATGCAGGGCCCATGCAAAGGCCAGATGATTAAAGCCCCGAAGTGGCTTTAATCAGCTGGTACTAAGAAATTTTTTTTACAACGCGAAAAAATGTATTATAAAAGTTTTATAGCCTAAAAACTATTTTTGAAAACTATGGGCAGCACATAGGATAACAGGGGGGAAAAAAAAATTTCGGCATTTTGAATATTTTCGAGATTTTGAAAATGCCATTCGATAGAGGACCGAAAAATATACTAAGAGTTTTTTTACAGCCGAAAAAAAGCATATTTAAAAATACTTTTATCATATAGAAAGTTTGAGTGCCCCCCGTTATTTCCCCCGTTACCCTATGTGTACCAAATTTTCAATACTAGAAAGTTACCAAACTACTCTCAAATTCTTGCAAATTCCGATGCAACATTTTTGGTCGTTTTTCCTACATATCCGACCAAGAACGTCAAAATTTCGGTACCATTCGATCCTCTTTGATAAACAATTTTCCTAAGAATTGTGTAAAGTGTCATAAAATGGTTTATATATGGTTCCTTTCCGCATTATCAGGGGGCAATCTTGTATCCTACTATATATAAAAAATAGTGTGTGTGTGTGTGTGTGTGTGTGTGTGTGTGTGTGTGTGTGTGTGTGTGTGTGTGTGTGTGTGTGTGTGTGTGTGTGTGTGTGTGTGTGTGTGTGTGTGTGGCCTGTGTGTGGTATGTGTGTGTGTGTGTGTGTGTGTGTGTAATGTGTGTGTGTGGTGTAGTAATATGTATGGCAATGATGTAGCAGTATGTGTGTGTGTGTGTATGTGTAGGTAATGCATGTAATAATAGTATGTATGTGTATGTGTGTGTTAATAATAATAATAATAATAATATTAATAATAATAATATAAAAATAATAATATAAAATAATATATAATAATAATAATATAATAATAATAATAATAATAATAATAATAATAATAATAATAATAATAATAATAATAATAATAATAATAATAATAATATAATAATAATATAATATATAATAATAATAATATAATAATAATAATAATAATAATATTAATAATAATAATAATAATAATAATAATAATATGTATGTATATGTATGTAATAATAATAATGTTAGTAATGTACATGTAATGTGTGTGTAATGTGTGTGTGTAATAATGATTGTGTTAATATGTGTATGTACGTATGTGTGTGTGTGTAATGTGTGTGTGTAGCTAATGATGTGTGTGTGTGTGTGTGTGTGTGTGTGTGTGTGTGTGTGTGTGTGTGTGTGTGTGTGTGTGTGTGTGTGTGTGTGTGTGTGTGTGTGTGTGTGTGTGTGTGTGTGTGTGTGTGTGTGTGTGTGTGGATGTCACTTTCGAGGCCGATTTGAGAGCCTTCCGTGTCATAAAATGCCTAATTCTCCGTCAGGGGAATCGACCCTTCTGTTTCCGATGGCGTTGTCAGAATTTCGATAAAATACAAGTTTACAAAGTTAAAGCCGGTTTTATTCATTTTTGGGGGCCCTGAGGGCTAATTTGCATAATGCGGAAAAATACAAATTTCCTCATTCTTACCAGTTGCACTCGCGTGTGTGATCGGTGGGGGGAGGGGGTCCGAAGGACCCTAGCTATCGGGAAGTCAAATTTTTCATGCAAAGGCCGCATTCCAGCGCCCAAGGCCCGCGAAGCGGGTTTTGGGCGCTGGTCCTGATATAAAATAATCATATGCATAACCTATCATTAATGTGGCGCTTCGCGATTTATGGGCTGTAAGTTCCCCAGCGGCGCAGCTGTTTCCCATACCGCCAGGGATATTGGCCAAAATTAAAAGCGCCAGAACTCTTTGAATTTATACCGAGCAAATTTGCCATTTCACGGGATGATGGAGGATAGGATTGGCAACATCTTGACCAAATCTCCTGAATTTTGGTCAAGAATGGTGCACGGGGCATAGGGTAGGAGCAGCAAAAACGCTGCGTGCCGACGGCGATTTTCGCGCGACACTTTTAGTGCATTTACTCCAGTAAATTGAAATTTTTTGTTGATATGTAGATGCCTAGTGCTTCTGAAATCGCCACTCTTTACTCTCCCATTCAAAAAACCCGGGCGGGCACACGCAATTTGAGAAAACATAGCGGATTCTGCCACCCAAAACTTTCTCCGCACCCTGTATATCGGAAAAATTGATCTTAAAAAATCCAGCTCCCTGGAATGCAGCCACCTGAACTTGTCGGCGGTGGCGCTGAGCCCCAGCATGCGGATCTTGCCCAGCGAGAGCGAGGCGAGCTCCATCATCAGAAACCGCCGTTGCAGCTTGTTCGAGCGGCCGAGGTCGAGGAACTTTAGGAAGTGCTTCCGGCGGGCGGCGGGTTGCTGCAAAAAAATGGCTAGCTAGGAAAGGAAGGCCCTTTGCGGAACCGACCTTGTTGCAGTCCTGCAGAATTTCACTCGTTATTGCAGCCGCATCGCATTCTCGGTCCTCCCCATATGCTCGACCTTCATGGCGACGAGCTCTTGCGATTTCCGGTCGCGTACCAGCCACAACTCGCCGAAGCCGCCACAGCCCAGGCTCCCGGTCACGATATAGCTGAACGGTGCGGGGCTGAACTGTTAGCCGGGGGGAGAAACGTCTTTTGACCGTAAAAAGCCGGAGTGTTTCTAACCGGTTTTTTTACTATTTCTAAGCGTAAAACTTTACAACTTTTGTTTAAAAAAATACAATAAGTATCGCTTTTCGACCAGAAATGACCGTTTTCGACCAAGATTTCCACTTTTCCAACGTTTTTGAAGGTTTTTAGCTAGTTTTTCTGGGGCAAAATTCTCAAAAAATTGTCATGCCTTTTTGAACCCATTTATAACTGTGCAAAATCTCAGATTTATCTTTTGCTATACCCCCCGCTAACAGCCGAGTACCAAGTCTTTGATGAATTTTCAGACGTGAAAAAAGGCAGGAAAACGCTAAAAAACGCTAAAAAACGCCAAAACATCGTGGATACATATATCAGGGATAAGGATTCTGCCTCCCCCCTCTAACAGTCCAGTACCGCTGCAGCTACCTGTGCGTCTCCGTGTCCAGCTGGGAGCCGCCGCACAGCCTCGGTATCACTGAAATTTCGCGATGTTTTTTTCAGCTAATCAACATGGAAAAGATGTAAATTTCAAAGTGGAAAAAAAAACAGAAAAAGAAATAAACCTTTCGGAAGATAAGGTTTGGGGTTGAAGTAGATCATCTGGTCGTTTTTCCGCTGCCCGGGAACGGTAAACGGTCTCGCCATCGACTTTTTCAGGATCTCTGGATATGCTACTATTCCAATGGCTCGGAAAAACCAGCTACAAATTGTAACATCGAGCAAACCGGAAAACCGGTGCTTTTGCACTATCGGGGGAGGGGCACGGAACTTTTGTTTTATGGATCCAGAAATGTCTCGTAACGTAATAGTAACTATTACAACAACATTTTGGTAAAATTTAAGGCTGAACTCCAGATAGCCATCTCCAGCCGGCGGCCCGACGTTTCTATCTCGTCTCCCTATTCATCTACAGGTGTGTAACGTATACCAAAATGTTCGTCTTGCACTGGCGAGCATTTTGGTATTTCTCGACGATCGAGCAATACAGAAGGGATCTCGAGGCGATGCAGCAGAGGCAGAGGGATGGTGCGTTTTGAGGAGATTTTTCAGGGCTAGCTAGCAGAGATTCTTTGAGGAATTGGTGGGGATGGAGGGGGCAGGCTAGCAGAGATTCTTTGAGAGTTGGAGGATGGGGGGGCAGGCTAGAGTTCTTTGAGGGTGGAGGAGATGGGAGGGCAGGCTAGCAGAGATTCTTTGAGGAATTGGAGGAGATGGAGGGGCAGGCTAGCAGAGATTCTTTGAGGAATTGGAGGAGATGGAGGGGCAGGCTAGCAGAGATTCTTTGAGGAATTGGAGGGGATGGAGGGGGCAGGCTAGCAGAGATTCTTTGAGGATTGGAGGAGATGGAGGGGGCAGGCTAGCAGAGATTCTTTGAGGAGTTGGAGGGGATGGAGGGGCAGGCTAGCATAGATTCTTTAAGGAATTGGAAGGGATGGAGGGGGCAGGCTAGCAGAGATTCCTGGAGGAATTGGAGGAGATGGAGGGGCAGGCTAGCAGAGATTCTTTGAGGAATTGGAGGGGATGGAGGGGGCAGGCTAGCATAGATTCTTTAAGGAATTGGAAGGGATAAAGGGGGCAGGCTAGCAGCGATTCCTTAAGGAATTAGATCGATGAGAGCACTTCAACATTTTCCCAGCGTTACCGGTGGATGTGCTTCCCGTCGGGGTCCTTCTCCTTCTCACACCACCGCCGTCCGATGCCAAAATCGAGCAGGTAGACGATCTTCTCGCGGTCTCCGAACCCGATGGCCGTATTGTTCAACTCCAGGTCGCGCTGGATGTAGCGGACGTCGTGCAGGTTGAAATCCCCGGTGTCTGCCGCGTGGCGACCTGCAGACAAATGGACGGTCTGCAAAAAGCGTGGTTTGGTGTCGTACTTTTGGGCGAGGAGTCAAATCCGGTACTGGTCTGTTAGCCGTCCCATCCCGAAACGCCAAAAGCACCTAAGAACCACTCCTTGTCAGCGATACTTCTAAGCACGTAGTTTCGGAATTTCAATTGCAAAAATAATTTAAGTCGCAAGCAAAACTTTCTCGAGACCACCGCCACCCTGACGGGACATCTTTTCGTTACAAATTACCGGTCCCTTTAAAAATAGTAAACGTGAGCCGATCTCGTCCAAATTTTTTAAGGCTACTTCTAAGTATGTAGTTTTCGAATATCGGTTGCAAAATTAAGTTACGTCGCCGACTTCATTTCGACTGATCTGAGTGTTAATTTTCAAGCAATTCTGGGTCCGGGTTCATTCGGGCTGCCCGAGTTAAAAAGATACCGACGGCATAGGGTCCTGATGGACTTTTTGGCAAATAGCCAACCAAGCAGAAAGCCCTCAGGGGCGAGACGCAGAGACATTTTCTGTAACCCGCGTCACCGATTACTTATGCCGTCGTTAACCCTTTAATGCGAGGCGGGGCGGGGCGGGGCTTTTCGCTGATACCAGGGAATTAATGTGGGCCAGAGGTGAATGCAT